ATAACACATGTGTCTAGACTTGCACAATAGAAGCAACATATACATGCCATTATGTCCTTTATCATATACCTTGTATTGTATACCGCTATGGGAAGTTCGCCCTCACATCAGGGCAATAATTTCTCGTATCACGCTGGGCCCTCGCAAGCTTGGCTGCTCCCGACGCACGACCTAGGCCCGCAAAAGCCGTATCCAGTCCATAAGGAATGTTATTGCACATGTATGATCTCATTACCATTAGCTTGTAAAAAACAATCTTGACTAATGAAAAATAAACACTAAATTTACTTTCATGCAGCTGATAAATGTACATGTATATGAATCATTAAAATTTATTGAACAGTAACTTTATTTTCTAAAAAAAATACACTTAAATTTTGTGGAACTAAAATATTAAAAAGTAACCACTAAAATGTAGAAAGCACTTGTAATTTATTGAATACAGTAGTAAATTTTTTTTATGAAAAATAAATACTTCAAATTTAATTTTTTTGCGGCTGAAATATTAAAAAGTGTATGAACCATTAAAAATGTAGAAAGCATTTGTGATTTATTGAGCCCTAATGTTGTATTTATTTATTTTATGTTTCCTATGTAGATATTTATAGTAAGGCTAGGAATGCAAACATCATGTTTTTTTTTTTTATCAGCTCTTGAAATAAAAACTGCATAGACAGTTCTGCAGACAGTGTAGTTTACCATGTATATTATGTAATTACTTGCGACATAAGGCACTTGTGTCTGCACTTTCAGCTTATAAAGCTCTTAGTAATGCTGTGAAGCATGAACTGTAAAAGCCATTGGAATGGATACAATGTGGCTATTTTTGCCAAAGTGGCTGTGAATGCATGGTTATCAATACACACAATTTAACTACATTATTATTATAATTATAGCCTTGTTGCTCATTTCATCAAACGAAATAGCCTACCCTAATAGTTGGCTAAAATACATATTTATAAAATTTTCAGTCAACAACATTCAGTGGAAATTCAAAATGACTATATTATATTCAGTGAAAATAAATTTCTAATGTAAATAATCAGTCTTGCGATACACATATCACATCTCCAATTACCATTTTTCTTTTTTCTTTCTTTGCAGTCTTTCCAGGGCAGTCAGGGCAGAGCCTATCTCTTTAATTCAGTGTAAGTATACTCTACACATGTATGTTAATTTTGTCAGATTATCATTACCTGTCCTGCTATAATTACAATTTACTAATCAGTAGCATTTGTACTTCACATAAAATGCTTTTTAATGTTTCCCAAGTTTTAATTGACTGTGTTCAAACCATAGTTCCTGTATTTGCCCTGGTGCATAATACGTGTGCACAGATAAATTACAGGGGGTAATTGTAGTAAAAATTAGTCATATTTTATTCATCTAGCATATATAGCTTTATTAAATGCAGTTTTAGGTTGAGATGCTCTTCTAATAGAGCAAATACGGTCTACACTGAAAAGAATAGGATTTACCCATCTGTAAAACATTATACAGACATGTTCAAAGGTGTTAGATACGTTTGTCTTCTTTATTTAACATTCGCACAACACAACATTCTTAGTTGCCACTTTGGGCTGTAATCTCTCATATAATTATGTGCAAGCAGGGAAAAGATGTATACCGGTAATAATAAGGTTATCACAAGAATACCACAAAGAATGCTCTCAGATAGTACATTAACGAATTGACCTCTGCTACACGGCGGTTGATGTGATCACCATACTGCCCTTGTGCATCCTTTGCAATATTTTTGTTGAAACCTCATATTATTTGTTGCTTATTGCTTTTAGTACTGTTCAGAATAGCCTGTCATTCATTGATAGAGGGCGCTGTTCATCAACATGTAGTCTGTTAAATTTAGTAGGTACTTAATATGTTGTAAAATGTTGTGAATATGAGCATATAAATTTGATGGCAAATTGGTTTATGTAAATAAAAATAGTATTAATTTTAAATAGCAAAGTTAAGCTACGCATTGTGAAAAATATTAGCCCTACATGTAAGAGAAGAGTTAGTAGTCTGTGTACCTGTGGTTAATGTTAATTTTCAGCCCTGGATCTGAGTACATTGCGTTATTTTGCATCTATTGACCAATGTGACACAGCTGACTGCATTGTTGTTGCCCGCACATCTACATATTGTGTACCTTTCATATCACTGTGAACTAGTAAATGTTCGCTGTCAGTTTGTGACTCAATTTGAATTTAAATGACGTAAACATCACTTTGAATCTCTACAGAATGTCTCCAAATTGGATTTTCCAAAAATTTAAAGCGGTATTTTATCTCATTTTTGTTTCCATTGCATTGTTTTTTTTAAGACAGCTACCTTTTTGTCTACACAGCGTGAATGTTGGATGTGGTCCAGCCGAGGAGAGAGTCTTACTGACTGGCTTGCATGCTGTCGCTGATATTTTCTGCGAATGCTGCAAAACGACCCTTGGTTGGAATACGTAAGTATTGCGTAACATTCTCAATTTTGTCAGCCTTAAAGCCGGAGGCTCGTCACCTGCACACGTGCGGGAATTGAGTCCCAAGCGATCATATCAACACGCGCTAAGAACGCAAAGGCTCATGGGTAGACGCTTGTTTGTAAACAATGACACGCTATGGCCTACTGGCGCATACGTAGGTGACGACTCCCCCGCTTTAACACTTTGTCAGCAACTCAGTTTTCCCCATTTCCCCATTTCACCTATTATTGATAAATACTTGATATCTTTATTAACCTGTCCACAGGAACAGCCAATTTTTATATTTACCTGTCCCACCTAAAATCTGACTGTCAAGGACAGGTATATATGCCTGAATTTTGACCTTTGTACTCCCTTACCATCTTTGACAACAGTAAATTTATATTGACATTTAGGAAGCACTAATTGCACCTCATAAAATTACTAATTATTGAATAATACATGCAATGTTGCACATTTTCTGTGGAGCATAACTTAGGATGGTTATGTCTGGTGCATTTATTGGTAATTCACAGACTGGTTATGCTGATTAAAAATAAAAAAGGGCTGTGTTTCTACTTTTAAATATCAAATTTTCTTTCAGCGTCTTTTTTGAGGGGGGCAACCAGTAAATTGAATGTTTTCATTTTGATACATTCATGACATCTATATATTAGACTACATTTAAAAAAAGACACTGATAAAAAAAAAAAGATGAAGATTATCATGCAAAACATACAATGCATACATGTACAATTGTGCATTGCATGAAAATTGAAGCTTTAATTAATATCCCATTTCCTTTGTTAAACTGTACTGCATCTATAATGAATTATTCAGCATTGGCACACAGATGATGTATTATTCATCTCTTAAACTACCCAGTTTTGTCTATAAAAGATGCTATTTATAATATTAATTAATTATCTGGTCCTTGGAGAGTTCCCTCGTTCTGGGAACCATAGACACTGTTAAGTCTATCCCAGTCAGCTGGCTTACAAAAGATAATAAAAAAATAAAAGCGATTGATTAATCAATATTTACTACCAGGTATATGGGGGCTGCCATCTTGAATGCAACATGAAACTAAATACCGGTAAAAGACAAGTTGAAAAATGTGTTTTTCAGATTCCCACGAATTAGGGAAAAAAATACCACACTTTCCCAGCTAAACGATCCGTTGGAGTAATATTTAGCCAACCACTAACAAAATTTGGCCAAATTTGACGTTTTTGTGTATCACTTGAATGTCAGCTGACCTTGAAGTCTATGTACATTTTGCATGTGAAATGTTTTTGACATGAATATTTAAAATCTGGAAAAAAAAAAATTTTCATTTTTCTTCCTGAAGTTTAATTGTCAATCCTTAAAGTGAATGTAATATAAACTGAGAATTATTTTTCACAGGTGGATTATTTTCTTCTTTTCTTTTTTCTGTTTTCATGGAATAGGAACATGCCTTTGAAACAAGTCAGAAATACAAAGAAGGCAAATATATTATCGAGTTGGCACACATGATCAAGGACAATGGATGGGATTCTTGAAACTCAACACCAATATATCTGTGTTTGCACTGATTTCAAAAAACAAAAGCCAGTCATTCATCAAAGTGAGAAAGCGCCATTTTCTGTGTATAAACTATGAAACAATTCACTGATGGTTGTCTGTCTGTTGGTGGTTCTCTTGATGATGTCCGTAACATTGCTGTAAAGACTCGATATCGACTGGACTTCATTCGTATATATTTTTTTTCCCCAACAACTTGGTAACGTTCGCTGTGCCTAATTGTGTGGAACTAAAGAAAGACATTTTTTTTGCTAAAAGTTCTATTTATGTGAAGTTTTTAAAACCTCTTTCTTATTTATGAAAATTTCAAACAAAAAGTGATTAATTGAAAAAAAAAGTGATATATATATATATTTGTGTTTATATATGTATGGGGGCGTGTTTAAGGATGACATTACGAGAATGTCAAACGAGAAGCGAGTTTATTTATAGAAATAGCTGAAGATGAGCTACACAAACGATTCCCTTGAAATGTAAGGAAGATGTTGTCATTCACCAAAAGGAAAACGCAAACTACCTGGATTGGTCGAAACGATTGTGGTTTGGATACTCCTTTCAAGTTGCCCCATAGCGGTGAAGTCATATCGACTGAAATGGTAATCAATAGTTTGATTTCTTAACACACCCTATAAAGCTATAGCTACCTGACTCGTATAGATTTACAGATTTCATGGAGTAATCTCACTGAAATTCCACATGTGAAAAAAAAAAAAAAACATTTACACCACAGCATCATTGAAAAGAAATTATGATGTTTTTTCTTTAACCCTTTGATACATTTCTCTATCTTTCGAAAATTATAAAAAAAACGTTTGGTACTGTATTTGTTCTTTTAGTCGCTTATATGCTCACAAGGATGACAGAGGTATATCTCATCAAATTAAATCATATTTTAAGATTTTGGTTTCTTAGAGATGCAATTATAATAGAACAAATATGGTATCAGACAGGTTTCTAAAAAATGAACCCCATAGTAGAATGGTATAACCTTCTATATTTTTTTCTTTTATCTCTGGACCAAATCTCAGTGGTGAAGAATTTAACATTTCTGTGTTTGGCTTAATGTTTTTTTTTTAAAACTAAAACAAATGCTACCTAGATATAGTGTTGACCATGTTACCAATGTCGGTGTGTTTCAATATAGGATATTTTTTTTTTTTCCCGAGGTCATATTTGTCTTGTGGTTTGATCTAAAGAAAAAAATGTCAGAACTTTCTGTTTTGTATTTATTCGTACCCTATGGTATGACAATCAGTGATTTGAATTATTTTGTTATGTAATCAATTTTTTGTTGACTCTTATGTTGGTATTGTTTATTGATTGATTGATTGCAAGAAATGTTGTCATTTCCTTGTCTGTCATTGATCGATTTTTACACTAGGACTAATATAAGTGATATAAGAGAAGCAGGTCATAAATGCATTCCATATATTACATGTAGTAATATTATTGAATTCTGACAGGGACCTGAGTGCTACGGTGCTCACCAGACATTATCATTTTGGGTCTCCAGTTATGTGTTTGGTACAGCTAGAATATTGCCGGCATATCCGCGTACAGTGACCCCTCACAAAATCGCATTATCGGTTAAGTCGCGGCTACTAAAAAATTCTATTGTCTATTTTTAAAAAATAGCTAATGTTTTGTTTCATCGTGTATTTAATTCACCTTTAAAGAGTCAGTGTGAAACACTTGGTACACACCCAATACCCTGTCAATTATTAGGATGAAAAAAGGGTTGGCTCAAGGTGTCAACTTGAAAATTTATTTGTTTTTCGGCAGATACTAATTTGATAAAACTCACTGCAATATGAACAATCCTTCAGTCTGACCTCTAGTTTTGACATGTCTAAGCGAAAGTTATCCAGACTGTCTGTCCTTGATATAAGTTGCGACCCTCACGTTTTTTGCTTGGATCCCAACACCTGGAACTCTGCGATGGGTCACTGTACTAAAATTAACCTTTTTTATGTCTGAGTGTAGCGTTGCATCAATAAATACTCTTAATTATAAGTATTGCTATGACCATGATGTAATGCTACATTTATGCCATCAATACTTCTGGTAAGCCCTATGTTGTCGTTGTTTCGTTATCTGTACACACGCTCAAATTTATTCATTTACACAAAGTGCATTAAAATGTGGATTATACCAAGATTTACACATGTTTTGTTTGTATCAGTCAAGAAATGAAAACCTGTATTGCCTAATTACACCAAACCCTTTGTTTGTGGGAATACTGCACATTCAGTATTGTGAAACGAAGGGTTGATCCTCAGAAATACACAATATTCAGTTACTTCACTTCTTGATTGATGCCTTATATAATTTGCAACTCACCAAGAGTATTGTCTAGTATGTTGTATTCATTTATGTTGTACATCAATGTATTCTACGGTATTACATGACAGCGTTTTATTGGAGACAGATTTTAGCTCCCCCCACCAATGAATTACCATAAAATTATTTCTGGTGTATTTGTACAGGTTATGGCCAAAATGAAGCCAAAGTTAGGACTGGTTTGTTAAATTTTCTTGATCACTGTCCTGTTCGTTTAGGCAGTCCAGGTTATGGCTAATTTTTTCTGGCTCGAACCATTGGGATCCAGTAAAATGCTGTCTTGTAAACCAAAGTAATAATCGTCCGTACCAAGTATATTCTATTGTATAAATAGAGACAGTCAAGTTATGTAAATTTGTTTAATTGTCTGTATGTTCATGATTGGAATCTTCTCTCCTGTCATAACTACATGTATATGCTATTCCACTGCTTCAACCCAAGTTGCACCTTCCTCTATCTGGATCAGACTGCTGCTAGGCTATGATGATGTACACTTTGTGTGCACGCTATAAATGGTTGGTGTTGAGTATTAGTGAACAATAGTCCGATGAGGGGGAGGGGAACTTCACTGCAACTGCACTCCAAGATTTGATTCTGACATAAACGCCTTACCTTTCTGACATGTAACAATTCGTACTTGTCTGCTTCAGGTCTTGTTGTAATATCCTTAAACACGCACAGTCATGTTTATCATTTTCATCAAACGAACAAATGTTGTTTTTTCTATGTACACAAGCATTGTTGTGAGCAGAAACTTTTTACAAGTTGATGTATTGTTACAAGTATCCCAACGAGCTGTAAAATCCACTGAAGAAATCCTTGAGGTTGAGAACTATATACAAAACAAGTATAAAATAGTGGATGCTTGCACAAAGGGATGTGTAACTTAATTTTATAACTTTTGCAACCCACTTTCAGGCTTAAACATTTGTCACAAAATTTACATTGTGTCCTTCGTCTTTTTCTTTTTTTCCAAAACTATTAATATAAAACGTGTTTCAAAGCATAATGTTACGTAAATAAAAATTGTAATATATATATAGAAATATTTTGTACAAGCTGAAGTGTGTGTTTGTTTATATCTTTGTTGTTTTACAGTAAAGTAAATTTTATTTTGTTTTGATGTTGTTTGTTGGCATATTCTTTAGTTTTTTGTTTTTTTGTTTTGCAATAATGAAAATTTGTTTTTAAAGTTGTTTGTTTACTAGACTGTACTTGTGAGCGGGTATACTATTGTGTATGCTAGATATGTTTTTATCACTATTAAAAAGTATGAATAAAATACAACAAAGATGTGTAGGATTTTTTTTCCACATTCCAGAATCCCGTACATATTGTGTAATACTGAGAATCCTTGGGTACTGTTGATAAATCAATTATCAAGATGGTGAAGTGAATTGCGTTGGAAAATGAATGCTTCTACAGTATGGTGGAAGCGCTTGTTCAAGTGAAAGAGTGTCATGATTGATTCATGCCTCTGATTACCACCAATCAGCCCATCAGTGTTGTTTTTAGTTAATGGGAGTTTCATCTAAAACGAGATGTGTGAGGGCATACTTCAATTAAAGCGTTGTGGTCGTTGCGTAGTATGTGTTCGAATTTCATGTAAATAAACAATGTATTGTACACGCGTTGTATACATCGCTATGAGTCCTATATCGAACAGGTGTGACAACTGTCGTCCTTTAATGATGACCTGTAGATCTGGGCAACTCTTGATTAAACACTTGAAAACTGGCAGCTTTTCTGAGAATATTAGAAAACCTGACAGATCTCTGTTTTATTTACATTTATTAAAAAATAGTTTTGTAGGTAGGAGTTTGAGCCGAATTCAAATTTTGTCCAGTCGAGCTTGTTACTGCATATATAGGACAGGTATATGCAATGCATTATATAGGAAAGAACCTCTCGCTAAATGATATGTTGATGGTTTGAAATATTGTCACAATTTTAGAATTCACATCAATAATAATATATTACTTTTTATATTCCATGTCACCTAGCAACATTTCTATACAGATATGAAGAGATATTTCCTCCATGGAAACAATTGCAAAAATGCCAATTTAAACCATCTTCCATAACCCTAGTTTCTCAAAAAATACCAGTTGATCCCAAATTTAAATTTTGGTATCTTCATTGTATGAAACTCATGAGTGCTGATTAACAAGAAGTAGCATAGAATCTCATCGTCAGTTAATTTTTTTCTCAAAAACAATATCCTTGGATGTACTCGTGTTGATTGTCATGTCAGAAATGGCATACCAAAATGAATAGTTTAGTAAATCTTCAAAACGGACATTGAAAACAATTTTTATGATTACCTTTCATAATTGTGGTTGAGGTAGAGGAACTGTGATACAATTTGATAGTTGAATAATTAACGTCAAGCCAATACCAATAACCTTGATTTTTCATATACAATACATTAAAATTTAAATTTCAAAAATAAAAAAAATATTAATAACAACATTCGAGCATATATGTAGGTGTAATTGTTAAGATTTTATTCAGATTGGGTACATATATAAATTATTTGAATAACGTCGTGCCAACCTCCTGTACACATTGAATGACATCCACACAGAGTTAAATGTTAAATTTAATTCATAATTCAACAAATAAAAATACAATTGGAGAATTCTGATTGTTGTACAATAAACTGTTAACATTTGGTAAATAAAATAACTAAAATTATAAAAAAAAAAAAAGAATTGTTTCAATTATTGTATGCAATATCTCCTTTAAATGTCCATGCATGTCTGTATATGTACAGTCACTTCCAATTTTTTTTTATCAACTACATAAAAAAACATTTCTTTTCATCAAATGGTACTCATTATCTATCTAATAAAAGGTTTTTTATAAATAATAAATTTGCCTTCTAGTCGTGGGATTTGTTTTATGTCTGACTGTATCAATTCGTGGTTTGTTGTGAGAAATTCGGAGTCTACGTAAAAGTTTTTTATTTCAAGAGGTTTTGAATGAACTTTCCACGAAAATATTCAAAACATTGTCGATAGAGGGCGTTGTGTTCCAAAATGCATTCGTAGTTCTGCATTTTCAACAGTTCAACTAGACTCTGCTCCAGTCCCTTGCCACTGTGACTCGGTCTAGGCGCCCGGCAAGTCGCTAGTCTGGTTCCCTGTCCCAATTTCAACGCTGGGGCGGTTAAGACAAGCAAGCTGCTTGCGGTGTGTCCACTCTCCACGCAAGATGGCGCTTCTTCAAATCACAAGCTTGCGCTTAGAGCTCAGGGATTGAGAGTGTGTATATACTAGTACCGGTAGTAATAACCCCAGACAACTAATATTAGCTGTCTGAGTAATAACAAGTACCGCTGAGGGCAGTAACGGCAACAAGAACAAAAACTCGCGGGCAGAAACAACAGTCTCGAAAATCTAGTCTACATTTGAGACATACAGTATTGAAAACTTTGTCAACAAATACTTGAAATCAAAGGGAAAATTGTATCCATGTTCCATAGACTTTCGAAAAGCATTCGATAAAATCTGGAGACAGGGGCTTTTCTATAAATTACTCAATAATGGTATAAATGGTAAAATCTATAACATCATTAAAAATATGTATCTAAATACAAAATCATGCATTCGTTTCAAAAATAAAATTAAACCCATATTTGAAACGACCAAGGGTTGTGTCATTAGTCCAATGCTTTTTAATTTGTTTGTTAATGACTTGAATAATTCCCTAGAATATGAATCATTAAATCCAATTACATTGAATAACTAACTGTAAAATAAGTTCCCTACTCTATGCAGATGATCTAGTGTTAATATCTGAAACAAAAAACGGTCTTACTACAAAATGCACTAAATAATAATAAATAGTTTAGAGGTTTATTGTCATAAATATAAACTCCAGGTAAATCTTACAAAAACAAAAGTTGTTATTTTCAGACGAGGAACACTGAAAAAAGACCGAAAAATTCTATTATAATGAACACAATATTACCTGTGTAGATATGTACAACAACCTGGGTATAAACATAAAGTCAAATGGCTGCTACACTGAAGCCAAACAAAATTTAGCAGATAAAACAGCCCGAGCAATGTATGCATTGAAACAGTTCCTACCACCAGAAACAAATTGTAGAACTTTCATCCTTCTTTTTAAAAGGTGTATTCAGCTAATATTATTGTATGGGTCTGAAATCTGGGGTCATGAAATTCAAGATTACAAGAAATGTGACAAAACAATAACACAATTGAATTTTTACAAACAACTACGATATGTACTAGAATGGAACAAATTTGTGGCAAACATTGTATGCAGAGCTGAAGTAGGAGAATTCCCACTCTTAGTAGATATTCAGATCAATTTAATACAATACTTGATTTGTATCAATAAATCACCGGGCAATATTATCACAAAACAAGCATACCTTGAACAAAAGAAATCCAATTTACAATGGTACTCTTCAATACAAAAAAATGATCAACATGAATTTTTCACGAGAACAACAGAAAGATTTCTTAACAAAACATATACTGCAAATTGGCAAAGTTTTCAAACAAAAATACATAAATTTCTGGAGAAAAAGTATAACTGAAAAAACAAAACTGAGATAAATTCAAAGACTCTTATAATTTTGATAATACTTGGATGTGTTGAATTTGAAACAAAGAATTTCAATGACAAAATTTCGAACTAGTAATCACAATTCAGCAATAGAAAAAGGGAGGCATAAATGCAACCCAAAATACCCACTGAAAGGTGAATTTGCAAACAATGTCCATTGACTGAAATAGAAGATGAACTGCACTTTGTTATGATATGTCCACAATATAAAGTAATACGTCAACAAATCATACAGACAATCATACATTTTCACAAGAAACACAGGATGATCTCCAGAAATGTAATTGCTTGATGACTTCAAAAGATGATGTAATAATAAAAAAGATTGGCAACTATATTCATAACACTTGCTTAATCCCATTAACAACTTTCTTTCTTTTTGTAGTAGTAGTTATCACAACTAATCTTTATTGCTATTAACTGATAGAAACATTGTATTTCTAAGGATGCAATAAAGTTATCCATGAAACGGCAGTTGTAGTCTTTTCTGCTAGCGTTTTAAAACGCTAATTTGAGCAATGTTATTTCGCAATTTCGATCTTTTGAAAACCTGGGATGATGTATCAATGGGTTACAGTTCTCTAAACAACGTCCGACATTAGCTTTATGCCATAGAATCTAATAAAGATCGGACTAGCTCATACAACACATACATTTGGACTATCACTCAAAGCGCCCTCAATGCATAAATCAAAAACATATCCAGTTTCCACGTTTTATTAGCCATGTATATCAACCCGGGACTGATATAATTAATTATACGTATCCCCATTTGTGGACTGACATGCCGATGTGACTTTTTGACGATAGCTCAGTGTGACATTTTAGCTACCTTAGCCTGTTACAGAACGTGCAAGAACTATTAGTTTTATTAGACTGAATGCCATAATTAATGTCTAGAAGAATTATTTTTCGAGAAAATGATGGCGGTTACCATTGGTTCCTGTGGTGGAAATCATGCTATATCTCAACTTCTAGTTTTAAAAATGTAAAGCAATGATATTTGTTTTCACATTTTCTTTTTGGAACTGTTCGGAACAAGAATGATGCATAAACTTTAAGAAGTGAAAATGAAAGTCAGTTCTATCACAAAGCTAGAAAAAAAAATCACAGTATTTCCAACACATCATATCCTAATCGGCGGCAATCGGCGAGATGAATGCATGTGTATAAAACTGGATACAATTTAACTTGCAATTTGTCTGATATTTAGTCAACAATAAGTACAGTTTACGACAATACATGCGTCAGTGCAATGAGAATAATGGAGATGTATGTACGGCGTTCGAGATCTGGTCGTTTGGTTTTTGAAAGTCACCGGCTGCTTAGAAAGTAATGGTGACATCATGCCAAGATCCCATTCAAGTCTCATCTTGTAGATAGCGAGACTGATGCTACTACCTTCTGACATGACATAGGCGATCTGTAATAAAACAATAAAACATGTATTACCACATTCATAGCGAAAAAAAATGTAATACTAATACATCGAAAACGTACAGAAAATATAGTTATCGTAATCCGTCATATCCGGTCGTGAGCAGCTATTTTGATCCACCTGGACATCCCAGTATCCTAGTTATCTCGGGCATGCGCATTCGCATTTTTCTGAGTTGGAACGCTTATGCGAGAGCGAGATTGTAACGGGATCTTGGTATCATGTCACCGTAGTTGCAAACCCCAAGTAATGTACCTCTGATGGTAGACTGTTTTCATGAGAAAACTGGCAAAAAAATCTAGATATACTGAATAACACAGCAGTAATTAATTACACACATATTTGGGAATCAAATATAAATGCGGTGATCATTTGAACACACTAGTCTTGTGTTATCTGGTGTACAACGCATTTGTTTATGTATTTACAGATCAGCCAGCTACTTGAATGAAATGAAATATCAGGTCATGACCCCACTGTCACATGATCACACATGTGATCAAGTGTTGTTTTGATCGTCGCCATTTGTATCGCGCAACATTTTGGGTTTTGATGGTTTAAACGTCAGTTCCTGTTTTGTCTCTTATGTGATCAAGGTCAGTGCTTTATTTGTTTTGATTGTTGGTGTTTTTAAGACAAAATTCTGGCTTCTTTGCATGAAGAGAATAATTAATAAACAGGTCAACGCAAAGTCTCATCATATTCAAGTTTTACCATTCTATACAGTTAGTTACTGGGGCCATTGACGGAATGTGTGTCTATCGTATGTAGCGTTGATCGGCGTGGACGGGGTTCACTCTCTATGCACGTAATACACTCGGTTATTAAGCATCCTTTAAGAGGTGCTCGGAGCGTCGGTTCGAGACACGCACGCAATACGTTAGACTAGACCATGACTAGACAGACCTAATCGTGTAAATGTTATTGTTTTATATTATATTATAATTCCGTAAAAGAACAAATTCGAACCTCACCCCTAAAAGATATAAATATAAATTTATATGAATCAAAATGACTGGTAGAATTCAAATTGACCAATCAAGTAACAATATGGCAACATCATCATGAGTTCTAATTAATATTAATGAGCTAGTTCAACATCTTCCAATCAGCAAGCCCTCATCATGGACGGTCACAGTTGCTATGTCACTTGAACATTATGGTATTGCAAGTTGGTGTGGATAAGAGATTATGGGTGTAGGATCTCATAAACCAATATTTGATTTTGAATAAATTTCACTGCAAATTTCTATGTTATTTATCTTTAAAAATGTAACAATTTAATATTTGTTTATGCAGTACAGATAACTTATCACCATGGCAACGTCTGGATTCTCAATGCGGAGTATGGCCAAAGGGATGAGGTCCGTATTGAACATCTACAATATGGACATGTCCAATCCTGCATCAGCTCAGGTCATCTTGAAAGCAGTCACCACAATGAACGAGGACATCCAGTTGGTGGAGACTCAGATGAACGACCTCGTGGTGGAAGGAAACATACAAGATGACGCTACACTTGTGCTACATAAACACAACTTCATTGGAGCTACCAGCATCATAAAGGAATCACTCTGTCAGCTCGGCAATATCGTCAGGCTGGCCGCAACGCTGACGAATGTGCCAAAAGAAACTAATGACTGCATGTACAGCATGGTGGACAGTGTCAAACGACAGTTCAATTATGGATTCGACCAGGCCAAGGAAAGCTTCAGTGCGTTGAGACAGAGAGTTAATACGACACCACGTCTTCAAGAATCCCAACTCATCCAGAAAATACTGGAAGAAATTGGAGATGTAAGTAAGAGATTTACATTGATGTTCGGTGTATTCCAGTTTCACATTATTTCGTTGTACAAGTCCAGTTATAAGACAAATACAGGTTTTTCTACATCTATCGTGTTGCCCTCCTTCTCCATAATACAACCATAAAAACTCCAAAATTACATTACATACCCCATTTTAGGAATTTGATGTGACTTGTCTTGTACATGAATATTTCCACACAAATAGTCTTCTTTCATTTCTGAATATTAAATTGATATTGATTTGTTTGGCTGATTTATGTCTTTTTCTATGAATAGAATATTGAATTTGCCAGAGCCAATGATGAAGTGGAAGAAAGGTTGAATTGTTTGGATAATGTCCGACAAGGTCAGGAGGCATTGAATAATGCCGTAGATGAAGTGATGTGTAATGACTGTCCTGAGGGTGAACGTCAGCAACTCAGACAGATACAACATGAAGTAAGTTATATATGTACAATTGTATCTCAACAATAAATAAGCCGTTGAGCGACAGAACTCTTAGCACTGCATAATTGCCATCTGAGCTGATAATGCATGTAACTGATTTTTGTTTTAAAGAAGGAACCTTGAACTTCCTCTAGACAGAGACAAATTAGATGGATGAATTTACCCTGAGAAAAATTGCCACCAAGTGAATTAAAAATAGGGCTAGATTAGACTTGCATACAGTGTCTTGTTTTGTTTTTTTTTCAATAAAACAAAATACTATGTAAACAGCCAAAATCGGGTTACTGTGAAACAAACAAGAGACTTGGGTTCTTTGTAGACACCCTCTTGCGACACCTACATGTCATGTCAATTGTCACTAGTCTGGGGATCAGTGCATGTTGCAATGATTGATAGGGTCATTAATATTCCACCAATTAGAATCAAGGTGTCAGATCTAGATAGTTTATTATAGAAACTGTGCCAAAATTGTGCATGCTTGCATTTCACAATATTCTTTGAGATTAATTTTTATGATGGCATTGCAAGATAGTGTCCAGGCCTCAGTTCCTCCATAAGGGATACATTGCTTCAAGAATACCAACAAGAGTTCATCGATGAATGTGAACTTATATGTGTGTATGCTCTGCCCATGTAATTACGCCAATTTGTTACATCATTGAAATGTTCATTAATATTAATAGGAAGTTGCTAGTTTTTTTTGTGGTAACCTGGATTCTTTTTTTCATGTTAATTTTTTGTGTTTTACTTTCAGATGAATGTTGGTACGAAGATGTGGGACATGGTGTTTTATATTGGTCATGTGATGGTGTTTATTCTTACACTTGGGGCAAGTGTCAACAGAGCATCCTAGGTGAACAGCAAGAACCACAATGTACTAGTGTTCAATGCAGGGTTGTGTAGGTTTTGGTTATTGATTAATCTCAACACACCAAATGAATATTATTCACTGACCACAGCCTCATCTTTATTTACAGAAGAGAAGAGTAAATTTTAGATTGAAAAAAAAATCATATACAAATTTTAACCGATATGTTTATATAAATTTAAATTTCATGCAATAATGGTGATTCCTAATGCAAGGAGGAAAACATCCATAAAAGAAATTCTTACAAGACATTGGTTCTGAGTCATTTGAAAATAGTGGAAATCCCTAGAGTTCACTGTATTTTCACTTAATACACACAATTTGAAATACAATAATGATCCATATGCAAAATCTTATTGTCTTGTTTGGTCATAGGTACATATTTATTTTTATTTCATAATAAAAAATACAAGATTATGCATGATGGGTTAGTAATATTAAGAATGTACAACCTGTAAATATGATGGAAATTTAAAAGTACAGTACAGTGCAAAAACATTAAATTTTATTTTGCATTTCCCAAAAACATTAAGACAATTTCCAATTGAAATTTGTCAAAATACATAAAAGTGAGGTTTAATATTCAAAATATTGAATGGGTGGTCCAGTTTTTTTTTTGTCCCTTGAACTTTCAAATAGCTATCTAATGGAATAACTTGGCAAAGTTTCAAAAAATGTTCATATCATTTGTTATTGATGCCATCCTCAAGTCTGATGGATCAATGAAAGTTGCTCCTGAAAAGTGACTTTTGTATCAGTTAGCCTCGCCATAGTCCCTGAACAACTGTGACCTCACCTAGCCCTAGCTAAGTTTGTTTGTGGTCATAAACAGAAGCATGGCTTAGTCAGGGATTGTTGAGTGATGTGTATTTATTTAATTTTTAATATATCTACAATTAAAAAAAAATATTTTCTTGCATGTAATAAATCATGTTATTGGTAAACAATGTTCATTGTAGCTTATTTTATTCAAATATCTTCAGTTATGTGTGTACGAATTCATTTCAGATTAACACTAGGGAAATGTAATTGAAATGGAACGTCCAGAGGTGTCAATTCTATGCATCTTTTGACACCATTGTCTGCCTTGTCACTAACAGTTTAGTCAATACCCTGTAAAGAAACGATTTAATTCCTATAGTCCAGACCACAGTCCCTCAATTGATTATTTGTAATAAGCATAGACCTATAGAATAAGCCAGTAACTGACAGTCATTTTGTAGATTTGCATGGCTGTTGAAAACATGCCTTCAGAACTCAGTATTGTGCTTAAATCTTGACCAACTAGTCATAGTCATGATTGCATACGACAGAAATGTGCTTAACACATTTTGGTTATCAAGAATAGCCATTTCACAAAGCACTCTGATCACATAAACCACATTTGAGTATTGTTATACCACAGGGAGTTGGACAAACTTATGTATTTTAATAAATTATTAAATAATAAATTGTTATATAACTTTTCTTATTCGCAATACCTTGGCTGCTAATTAAACAAAGTGGGAGCTTCGCTGTAAAGTACATTTTCACTCTGCAATCACCGTCCGAATCGCTGAAGCCGGTCGTTCATATTAAAAGCAGCCCGTTAATGTTGAGGTTTCGGCCGAGTAAATGGTTCTTGGCTTGGGAAAATGCTCTGTATTATAAGCTCTATTTTTTGTTTAAATATCAGGGGATAGCGCGTACGCAGTCCCCCACTAACATAAATTATGCGCCCGAGTCGCCCACATTTGGGGCGATCGCAGGTGTCAGCCCAGCCGGAGTGCAATGGGAGGGCCTCTCCCTGAGGGAACCGCCTCCTTGATCACGGTTAACCCCTACGCCAGGTAAGTATGCCTAGTTCAGGCTTCGATTGGGATTTATATAAATTGACACAAAACTTAGGACACGGTGAGTGATCAATATGGCGCTTACACTTATAATTTGCGGTTTTATCTCTATTATATTCGAAACAGAGTTGTTAATTTAACTATGTGAAAACAAGTATACTTATAACTTACATTAATAATTTTTAAAAAACCGAGTTTTCAGGAAATATTTTCATTTTAACCAGGGATGACGGCCATATTGTCGGTAATGTGATATGCAAATATTCATTGTTCCGACAGCTCGTCATAATAATGCGCGCTAACAGCCGGCTACAGTTTTTTTCTAAGGACCGAAGTAGCTTAACAGTTACATTCAATGTGAGACACGATTTTTGAAATGGTAGAGTCACAAAATTATTGAGTCACAAATAGTACAGTCGAAGCGCCCCAACACTCACTGACCTAAACACGGAAGAGAACTATTCTTCGCAGCGCCCTCTCGTGTCCACTCTTGTGTCCCAAATCGTCATTTCGACCATTTTAAAGCGCGGTAGTC